AAAATACCTTATTTTCTACATAACTCTGCTAAAGCCGTAAAGTACGGGAAAAAGAAAGTTGAAATTGATTATGACGTCATAATGGATCTAGCACCAAAAAATTAGTCTCAAGTTATTTACTAGATCTTGACCTTAAACCCTGTTGAAATCACACTAGGATTTGATTAATGTTCGTACTGAAAATTCTATCTTTTAGATATTAAGAGCCATTCTCTGTAATGATTTGAAATTTTATATACGAGCTGTGGCACACATAGTCTCAGAATTTCTCCAAACTCTCTATGATAAAAGTCATTGATACCCTAAACAGAAATCAGACAAAAATTGGTTGCTATGCTTTATAGTTACCGTGGCAACATGTTTTAAAGTTCGAAAAATGCAATTTTTAACATGTTTAGAGCCCCATAATTTACATTTGCGGCAAAGCAAACAATTGGCAATGACTGTTTCCAAAAGTTGAAGATCAGATGTCTCACATGCATAATAAACATGTTTGGTAAATCAACTATTAAATACGTTACTATGGTAACAAAGTATTTAAAAAATACAAAAAAAAAATATTCGTTGAATTTTATAAAGTCATACACGTAAAAATAAAATGCAATTATAGGATGAAATGTGACCGAATAATAAAAAAAGAGCTTTGATACATATACCAAGAACAAAATATGATATATTTCATTTTGGTTGGCAATGGTTGCCAAGGTTTTTATACCACAGACAGCCTTCAAAGTAACACTCTGTATTTAAAAATCTGATCCTATCTTTTAAAAAAGCACATTTCCTCATAAGTAATGATCAATTGTCAAAGATGTTTGTGTGCTCCTAGTTTTCCCATTTGAAGAAAAAATCAGATTAGATTCTCTAAATAGAGCGTTGCTATGAAAATAAGCAGAAAATATATGCTTAAAAATCAGAAAAATATTTTCTTTCCTTGGATATGTACCGTTAAATGTAGATTCCCAAAACTTTTATGATCGATATTTATTAACAGCTAACCTGACTTTTAATTTTGACTATCATCCAATCTCTAAGTGGATTCAAGAAGTTGGCAGACAGGGTTTAATATTGATATAAAGTTAACAAAATAGAACATTTTCCGTTCTTGGTAACCATAGCAACAGTATTTTCATCAAATTTTATCAAAATATGATATTCAACTTCAGTTCTAACAGATAAGTAGTATTCATGCTGAGTCCTTTAATTTGTTTCTTGATTATATGGCAATTTAATTCTTAATGCAGCGAAAAATAATTCACTTTTAAGCACTGGTACTTTGTTTCCATGGTAACACCGCAAAGTAGAAATTATACCCAATTTTTCTTATGGTTCTGGTGATGCAAGGTCCTAAGGATGCATATTTGCCAGTCTTGAATTTTTATGTTTTTCCTCAAGACAGTAGCATTAACCCAATCTTCGTTACTGGTTCAGCATGGTTACACTTTGTTACCATAGCAACCATAAAAGGTATTTATAGAATAATATTGCTTATACTTATATACTTAAGGTCAAACATTTTCATTGTTTTTCTTAAGTCGTTGATTAAGTTTGAGCATGTAACACACCATTAGTGAATATGGAGTGTTTTTCGACATATTTCAGCATTCCAAATGTACCCTTGGTTACCACTTACTTAGAGATATATCCTAAACAGTTTCTTTACATCATAAGTGACATCAAGGTGTCATGTTTTTGTGAGAATGATTTGTTTGCTTTTTCTAGTTTTTATTAAGCCACAGTCAAGATTTAAAGTGGCTGAAAATCTCAATTTTTCAAACTTTTTCCGGCTGTTGCCATAGCAATCGAGACCCATAGCAACGAAATTTTGTTTTATATTTGTTTCTGGTGTCAAGTACTCAGCATGGGTGAAGTGGCAACGAAGTTCAAGTGGTTACAGAGAATGGCTATTAAAATAATGTCAATGTGATGATTACTGACGTATTTGATGTTGGATGACTGATTGAAAGATATCCGAAACCAATCTAAACGTATCGTCTAAAAAGGTTTAAAGTACACAGAATTGAAGTATCATTTTTTTTCTGTATCACGTAACGATTTATATATTGCAATAGCATTTCACACGAAAAATTTTTTTATCTAAAAGTTTTTGAAACTTTATATGTTTGGATGGGTTTGATCGACACATCTTTGTACTTTCACAAATTATGATTATACATGTATTCTTAATACTTTGAAAAATTGGCAATCTTGTTGTGCATTAATGAAAATTATTAAAATAATAATCCAGAAAATTCAGAATTAAAATGATCAAAAGCAAAACATTCACACAATATATTGTCAGTCTGCGCAGTTGTGGTGAGCAGACTTTAACAATTGAACACACGCGGTGGTAAACATTAACAATAACAGAGCTCGTGCCCTGTTTACAAAAAACTTTGTACGTTTCACGGGTGTGTTCAATTTTCGTAACTCTTCACTATATTACACGATAATACATAACACAAAGCGCGGAATGACGATCCCTACGAAGGTATTTTGCTTTTGAACATTCTAAACTTAATATAATTATTTTTCTGGATTAAAGTTTTAAAAAATTTCATTAATACAAAAAGCCCTATCTTGATGTGACATTGTTACGCGTCATTGTCACCGTCATGGTTGGTTGGAAACCTTTTAAGCTACCCTCTCACACTTGAAAAAAATCTCTTTTAATTTGAAAAGTTGAAAACAATCTGCAGAGCAACATGTTTTTGTTGTAATAATTATATTGTTTTGAAATGATAATTCCGTTGTTGAAATTATAATTCCTGTTTAAAGTTTAGAATTTATTCAAGTCCAAAAGTACAAAATCAAAAATTACATTTTTACACAAAATTTCATAAAGTGAGAGTGAAGTACAAACAAACTCACGCATGTCTCAGCTTTGACAACTCCGCCTACATTTCATAAATGAGCCAATGAAACAAGTTTAAAGACAGTAGAGTAAAGTTAGAGGAAAGCTCAATTATTAATGACATTAATTTATAACACAGGAAACAATTTGAGTAAGCATAACAAATTCAGAGAAACACCAGTCTAAGATCTGACTGTAAACCCGATAACAGTTATATATGAGCTAATAGCAACGATACCGTGGGATGGAGAGAGAGAGATGTCAAGTTTGAGAAATTACAAACACGTCCAGTAGTGCTCTTTCTGAAGATCAAATAAAGCAATTAATTTTCAATTACAAATTCCCAGTACATCAATTATAATATTTAAACAATACCTAAATCATAAATACATCTAAGAAATTGTCTTTATCAAAAATTATATAACACTATAACTCTAATGCATTGCCTGGCACTACAAAATGTGATAACAAAATCATCATCATCAACATACGCGTGTTTTTGGCTTAATTTTTATCACTTCCCCTACGTGATGCTATACATTTCTCGGTTGAGTAATTTTGAACACCAACTGAAGTGCAAAGTAATCAAAATACACATATAATCAATTTTTATAATTTTCGGCCACATAGTCAAGAAATTTCGCATATTATATTCTTATGCGTTTCTTTTTCTTTTCAGTAGAGATGTATAATTTTCTTGTTAATGTTATACATACTAGTAAAACGCATAAAAACATTACACCGAATCTCGCATGTTTAAACACACCAACTACGAATAACGCATGTGTGAATGCATCCTATTTCATGAATAATCAGAAGGCTATACTCTTGTTAACACTTACATAAGTTACATTTTCAATTCTTAAAATTGCTTAAGTTTGAATTTGACACATTGGTACAAATACTATTTACGTATTTAAAAATCTGCAAAAGCAAAACAATACACAAAATGAATCAACATTCTTTAGTATTTTTGCATTTTTATACCGTCTACATAATTTTTTGTCAACATAGCATTTCTTGTAAAGTCAAGATAAATATATCCGTTAATTTCTCACAGGCATTTAAAAATATTTTAATGTGAATGAAACCAAGAACAATCAATGGGTTATAACACAACCATATTTAAACGGATTTTTAAAAAATGTATAAATAAATAAAGTTTGTTTCCATTGGAGATTTAAGCAAGCCAATCCCGACAGAATATAGGAATTAATCTTTGATTCTTTCTAAGCTCTTTTTCATTTCCTCTAGTTCTTCGTTCATTTTCTCATAGATCATCTTATGTTTTAGGATATACATTTTTCTATCCGAAACAAATGCCAAGGTTAATAGCATGCTATTGATTTCTCGTGGAATCAGTTTTTGAAATACTTCATAAATTCTTTTCTCAAAATGTTTGTTCAAAAGATTAATATGGTTTTCTCAATTTTTTCTTTTGAATAAGCTTCCACTTGTTTGCTGTAGCAAGCACTTATTGCTTTTATTTTCTTTTCTTCAGATGTAAAAATTTCTATTCCAAGAGAAACAGGGAGAACAAGGACTGTTCCTAAAATTAATAAAAGCCCACCACCTACAAGTAAGGGTAACCACACCGGTGCTGATACGGTATACTTCAAAACAGTCCACAGATTCTTTCGACTTGATTTTCCAGTTAAAGATAAATGAGCATTTTCAATATTTTTGTTTATTCCTTCAAACCTTTTAGAAAATTCTGCTTCAATTTCAGCTATTGCTTCTTCCATATCCCTTCCTCTCAACCAGTTCACTATTCCTGTTTGTAATCGATTGAAAATTTCTGAACTCAAAAACATCTTTTGATATCTGAGGATTACTGGCTCTCCTGGTGGGTTTAAGATAAGAGCCTTTCCTTCATCAGAATTTAAAAACGAGTGCAGTTTCTGTGCCAATTTTGAGGCCTTTTCTTCAATTTGTTTATTTAATTCCAACATACTCTGAAATGATTTGGAAAATAGATGAATACTTCCTTACTCAGAAATACATTTTTAACATTAATCGTAATGGAAATAGATAGAAAGATAACAAATACTATTAAAAATTGTAAAATACTGTACTTGTTTTATTTTTTCTTAAAAAAAAAGGGAATTCCTATATAATAATGGTAATAAATAGTAATCACCTTTTTACATTCTTCCAGTGAATTTTTCAGCTCATTTCGTCGATTTTCTAAATCTTTAATGTGTTTCTCGTCAGTTTCTTCTGATTGTCGAAGTCTTGATGAAATTACTCTATCAACATTCTCTAGAAACTTCTGTAGAAGGCTGTAGACATAAGGGTAAACAATAATTTGCTTCCATCTTTTTAAAAGTTATATTTCAATGAAAAACTCCTTTCCTTTTGTGCATCCTCTTTTTCAATATTTAATTTCTGAAGATTTTTAAATATCTATAATATGGAAAAATGCTATCAACCCTTATAATTAACTTTTTTTTCTCTGCATCACTCTCTGCCCCCTCCCTCTTTTGTTAGAAGAAATGATTTTTTTTTTGTTCCGGTTAGTTATAAATAAGTACAAAGGGATCGATGTATACTATATTGTCGTGGTCTATTACGAGGTAAATTATTGACAAACAAGTTGATGAAACAAGAATATCAACAGTCTCAATCAAAGTCAACATTTCGCAAGTTCTATGATCGATATAATTACTTTATAAGAAAAAATACAAGTTATCATCGAGTCAAATGCTGACTACGTTTTTCATAATAATTGTTAGTTAATTAATTAGTATTCATACACTGAATTGTCGACGAATTTTCCCGCTAATTCCCGATCATGAAAAGGAGCACAGAGTGGATGTAACAGGTCTGCAAGAGATGCTCACTTCTCCATGACACTGGATCCCACCTCTGATGTTTTGAAGATCCGTGTTTGCTTTGCTCTTATTTTATGTTTTCTTGACATTTGATCTTGAATACTGTTCGTTATCTCCAATGTTTATTTACATATACCAGGGCTGTTCGGAAGTAATAAACACATTGTGTTAGCACTAAGAATGAATAAAAGCTAAAAATATTTTATAAATATTTTATTTTTTCTTTCCAATTGTATATAAATGTGTCAATAGTAGGAATACTAGTACCCGGCGCACTCACGATACTAGATTGCGAAAACATGCAACTCACGCTGGACCCATAGTAAATGATTTATTTTATTTATATAATTTTTCAGTTTTATTTTGACATCATTTTGTGCAAGCTTCGATCGGAAATATGGAGAGCATAAAAACTATTGCGCAGTAAAGAAATCTGAAAACCACCAAAAAAAAAATGAATTTGACATCAGGGCGGCACATCGAGGATACCTAAAATTGTGTGTAGCACTGATGGAGAACTTTTTTCCAGACTGAACGACCTTCTAAAACAATTAAATAAGAAAAAAATGTCTAGGTTTTTTTTTTCTCATTGATTTATATTTATTTGATTTAAAACAAACACTCCAAACAGCCATAATTTTTTTAACGTAATAATTAGTTAACGTCGACAAGCGTTGCACAAATCGGTACTGCATGATGCGTAGTCAAGCTGTATATTCCACAGGTTATAACACAAACATTTTTATTTATTCAAAATTTTTTAAGAATCGTTCAAAAAAGATATATTTTGATTTTTGGAATGTTATTAGTGGTAATTTTAATAAAAATATAGTCCTTTAATTATCTTCAAGAGAGAACTTTTGCGTTATGCATTAAGTTTTTAAGCAATTAGTATAAAGGGGCCGACTATAGTTTCCATTGCGCAATATTTCGGGCATCATAGTAAAATGAAGCGTATTTACTGTTTTAATGCAACTTTTTTCGCTTATTTATCAAAATTAAACAAAATTAAGAAATTGTAGGTATAAAAATGTAATAACAGTTTGATATAACTGATTTTTTAACCGTTTTGCAATTAATAGGTAGGTTGACGTCGTTGCAGTGTGTTTTTGACGTTATGATAATCTGTAGCTCTTAAAGAAAGGGGCAATAAAAATATTATTAAAGAAAAAGTAATAAACATACGCTCTTGAAATTTAAAACATAGTAATTTGGGAAAATCTCCAATATTTTCATCATGTTTTTATGTAAATCCATTGTGTACGTCACATTATGTAATACTCTATAAAATAGTAAAATTTGCTAATTTTTTGCATTTTGAGATGCCCCCTCTGGAAACAAGACGGTAGAATTTTGTGTTTTTTTTTTTTACATATATTGTATAATATAGTATTACTCATCAAATATTATAGTTTGAACAAAATGTCTATTGTAGTATTTGTATAATTTTCTTTAAAGTGCTAAAAATTGGCATTTTCCTATATAATTCTATAGTAAATGTATCTGGTGTTTGAGACGGTCCCTAAAAAATAACTGAACGATAGATTTCCCCAAAACTTTGCATGTACACTGAAGTTACTGTAAGTTTATATATGGTACAAAAATGAAGAGTTTTGCTATTGTAGTTTTCACACAATAAAACTATAGTCGGCCCCGTTAAGAAGAGGGACAAAAGAAAAGAAAAAAAAAACAGACGTTGTTTCAATTTAATATTTAAATTGAATAATTATGCAGTGCCTTGGAAATGTATTGGTAATTTGATACTCGTACATGTAGCATGCTTAAATTGTACTTTTTTACGCAACTAAGAAAATAAATTTATGATTTTTTTTATAATTTCGTCTGCAATAAAACTAGTCTTTAAATATTTTGACATTGTTTTTGGTTGAAAACTATTTTTATCCGATTCTTGCATGGTTTGTTTCTTCTTTCGCCTCATTCATTTTATCACATGCTCTACGTGTGGCTAAAACATGATTTAAATTTTTTTTCTAGTGTATTTATTTTCATCGAAATATTCGTCGTCGTCATTTGTACAAGCATAATGACATTAAAAGAGAACCATATATTTTCTGAGTACATAAAGGGATTACATATGATAAAAATTGTAATTGTTGTAAACATGAATACATTTGTGTTTGTTATTTTGCTAAACTGAAGTCACATTGATTTTCAGATAAAATATATTAACTGGTACTTATAACTAACTTGAAAAAAAAACCCCACAAAGATTTGTGATCTGCGCATTACCTCACATGACGACGGACCCGCTTGCTTTTATTTCTTTCCACTAGCTCAGATAGAGTTGTTCGAAAACGGCTGAATTCGGCTTTTTCTTCTTCCGTTTCATCTTTTGGACTTATCTGTAAGAGTAAAATAGTGATAGCTAAATCACATTTAAGAAATTTATTTTATTGCAAAGCATTCATATTTTTCGGATGAAAAAGTAAAATAAGAAATGCAAAATAGTAATGTGTAATAAAGAATCTGTAAAGGTTTCATTACAATTCATTCACTGGTATGAGAGGAGTTGCGGATAAGAGATGGGACCCCAAAGCGAAACACACAGACGTACAGCTGGATGGACGTCCTGATTACTATCATCTTCGCTAGTCAACGGTTTCTGATACGCTACTCTCCTCATAAACCAATGGCCTACGGTGTTCATAAAAATCGGGATTTTTTTCCAGAGTTCTGATTGGATTTCAGTACATACCTGTCGACCAGTTATCAATTGTTTTTTGTAAAGGACAATATTTGCGTTCGGGATACTTCTTGACTCTTTAATCTCGGAATTGAAAAACGCAAGTAAACAACGATCCGTAAGTTAACATGCAATTCTGTGAATAGCTATGGTGTCATCCAATATCTTCTAAATATGTGATTAGTCAGCCCCCGGGCTGATTAGTTACGTTAGGATGAAACTGCAAGTGCGCTTGCGTTAATCAGAATTCTGGGAAAAAGATTTGCACAATTCTCCAACCAGAGGGCGTGCTTTTGAAGCACTGATCTCGATCTATTTAAAGACTGCATTGTTCTTTGTCGTTCTAGACGAAAATTAATGACATAGACTGTTCAGCTTCTAGATGAGATATTTGTCATTTTTTAAATGATACTATGAATATATTTCATTGCTTCTAGTAGACAATAAGTACATTTATTCCCACAATCGGCATTGCAAGCCGAAGATTTAAATTTGTATTCCTCTGGATGCCTGATGCAAGACTCCCTCGATCTTGCATAAGACATGTACCAGTCGGAATTCACACAACAATTCACTTGCCACAAACATGACAAAGGTCCCAAAATAGTGAAAACAAAAATTTCTTTTCACTCTAATGATGAAAGTTATGAAAACATCACAAGACCACTGTAAGACAGTAAATTCTTATAATTTATATGATGATAGACATGTAAGTGCCGCTTGAGCACATGAACCGCGGCCACATGTGAGAAATTGACTACAGTGGAAATGCGATAGTGCTGATTTATAGACAGGGTCAAAATCCCCCCTTCCAATGAAAGGGGAAAGAGAGATGGGGGGGGGAGAGATAGATTCCAGTATTTTAATCTATAGTTTTGCTATGATGGTAAACATCATCAAAGACATTTTATGTAGGCTACATACGTATTGCATGTATATTTATATTTTGAATTTCCATTTTTAATTGATTTCCGTGGCGTTCATTATCTTTTTGGAAGCAACTCTTTTCTTTCCTAATAACACTAAAACGGATGCTCAAACTTAGAAATTGAATTAAATATACATGCAGTAGCCCCCCCCCCCCCCATCATGCATTAATTGCCTCGAAATGCACAACTGAAAACTGTTATTTAATAATACATGTATTTTAAAACAATCTAAAACAAAGTCAACCTTCTTTTATTCATCATAATCTAGCTATATCATTTTTTATAGAATTTAACGTGATCTTAGTTGCCATGGTGACTAGCTTTTGTTCATTTACCGGTATGAGATGAACTTTCTCAATTTATTGGAGATCATTGTAATGATCACGATGCAGACTAGCTAAATTTTATTCTATGCTTTATTATTTATTATGTACAGCATTATGTTACAAATAAGAAAACTATTACAAGAATTTAAGTTTTCTTACAATGGCATTTATTACATTGAAGGAATACAACATGATGGATAGATCAAATCATAAACCATTACAAAACAAGAAAGACACTTTCTGTATTCCAGTGGCTGACACTCAGCTTTTTTTTTTTAAAAAGCTAACCTTGTTAAGAATCTATATTGAAGCTTCCGATTTGTATTATAAGTAATAAATAAACATTACTCAATTATTGCTTCTAAATTATTCTTGAAAAAAACTCTAATTTAATATTTTTTTTAAATTTGTGTCTTTATTTCTGTCATTGACGCAATCTGTGCGTACCTGATAGATTCAAGATCACGTGACGAAAACAGTCTTCACCGTAGGCCCAGGGTTTTTGAGGAGAGTATAGCGTATCAGAAACCCTTGGCTAGCGAAGATGGATTACTATATAACCTTCCGCTTTTTAAGTGGGGGTATAAAAAGGGGCTAGCCCCTTTCAGGTTAGGGAATGAGAGGTGCAAAAAGGTTTAATTCCTTGACAATGAAAACAATATATTTTATTATAAATTAATGAAGCAGAAATTTTTCATCTTTATACTCTTTCGCTTTCATTAAAATTTGAGTGAAAATATCAGCTACATTCTTATCTCATCTTATCGAAATTTGACGTAGGACCCACCCTTTGCTCGTAATGAGATCTTATCTAGTTTGTTTATAATTAAGGCTGTCTACTTTACCTTTTATTTTGAGATACACTTTATTGATTACAATAATACTTTCATCTGCATGTTAGTTTTTATAAAAAAAAAATCTATAGCACCTATACTTTTCGGATGAAAAGCAGCACAATGAATTAAAAGAATGATGTTTTATCCTATTTCAGGCACTTATATATTTATTACCTGTTCAAGGTTAAGCTTAAAGATGTTTTTAATATTTAGAGTCGGCCATGCCGCCTTTAACTTTTCTACAAGGTCATTCCAACACTCTGTTTCTTCATCCTCCTCCTCCTCATCGTCAGAATCATTTGTCTTTCTTTTGAAAATATACCATTTGTTTGTAACAAAGAGCACGTCTTCAGGGTTCAAAGCAAGGCATTAAATCGCATTTCTCAATCACTTTCGAGAGAATAATTTGAAGCTGTGAATATCAAAGGAACATAAAAGTAAAAGATTAGATGATGGGATAAGTAAAACAAAAAGATTATATTATAATTTAGCAATTTTTTTAGTGATATTTAATTCATTTTATTTCAAATAGATTTTCCAAAAAAATCGACAATCTGAGCAGCACAAACTAAAAAAACAATATTCTACGTACTAAAATGATTAACTAAAGCAAACAATTTTTATTTTTTTTATAGTTTGAGTTTAATCAAAGGGTGATTTTCTTTCTTAAAAAGACCTTGTATTATTTATTAATCAAATCACTTGATATAAAAATAGCGATTTAGTTACTATACTTACTGTAACAATAGTAAACTATAGTTAAGTTTAGCATTTCTTGCGAGGAAGGAATATCTTTAAATTTACCCTATCTTTCGCAACGCCTCCATCATGTGAAACATCAATCAAAAATATGAATGAAATTGATTCTGATAGGTAATCGATTAACTTAGAAGTAAGTTCTTCTGTTGCTCCAATTCCTGGTGTATCCACAAACATCAGATTACCCTAAAAAGATCAGTTCAGAATTGATATACTTAGAGATGATTTATACGGATTGAATTGAGAATATTGTATCTGATATGCTTACCAAATATTTAAAATCAAATACAGATGAATTCTTGTCAGATATTATACTAAAACGCGATCCTAAAATACAAACCCAACGGATATTGAAGTACTGTAAACCAACTTTTATTCGCGTGCGAGAAATTTTTTGCGAAGTTCGCGAGAGCCTCGTCATCGCGAATATTACTCGCCGCGGACCGGTCCTTTACGTGTATATGTCTATTAATAACAGATCCAAAAAAGGCTTCATCGCGAAAATTAATCGTCGCGAATTAGTTTATCCTTGTTAAATCGCGAAAAAAAGTCATCGCGAATAAAAGTTGGTTTACAGTACTTTCTTTCAAAATGATATGTTTACACATGTTATAATGCTTGTAAGAGCGCTATAAGCATTCTTTCTTAGCTTCTGTCAACATACAAACCTGCAAGATTGGAATAGGAAAGAACACATCAACATATTTTATATCTGTCGTATTTCTCTTTTTTACATGGGAGGTGGCTTCAAGTCTTGATCGCAGGTCTGCAGTTTTTGTAAAAATTTCTTTTGTAGAAACTTCTCCAGATTTATTCACAATCTGTAAAGCCATTTCATCTGAATTGTGATATCTGCATATAGTTGAAGTTGCTGCACGTAGTCTTGGTTTAGTAACCCTCTGTCCAAGAAGTTTATTAACGAGGCTTGTTTTTCCGCTGCTTGTGTCACCTATAAGTACGATACATCTTTCTGATTAATTGTCAACTTTTAAAACTATGTAGAAAAAAAGTTTAGTTTACAATTGCTAGTCTCCTATGTTTAAAATCATAAAATATGTTAATCAATAAAAATAATTTTTCATTAAATTAAGACCAATTGACCATAGTTCAAGGTTACACCCACCTCTCCAAAGAACAGATATCTTTAAAAAGTTTGTTCAATTGACAAAAACAAATCAAAGTACTGAAAGCACTCATGGGAGTTGAACATGATGTCATTAAAATCTTTGATCAGGAGGTTAAGTGGGTGAACAATATTATTATTTCAAATACAGACAACTGTTTAAGATTTTTTGAGTTGCAACAATCTTGAGAAAGACATTTAGAGACACCGAATAGCAAAATAATGCATAGGCCATAATGCTTGCCTGCCTACATTAGTCCTTTTTATACCCCCTGCTTGAAAAGCGGGAGGGTATTTATTAATCGGGATTTCCGTCCATCTGTTTGTTACGCTTTAGGTATACCCATCTTTTATCCACAACTCCTCTTACACCACCGAACGAAATTTTCATAGAATCTTTATTACATATTGCCGTTGTGCTTCTTCTATTACTTGTTCATCCTACACATATTTTGGGTTTCCCATTGCAAAATGTGGACACCGCCATTAAAATTCATATTAGAGGCGGTTGATCGGTTATATAATTCACTGCTAACAGTCTTCAGATTTGTACTATATTTTTCCTTAGTGCCTTTACCCTTGTGTTATGAAGATTTCAGTTTCGCAGGAATAATATCAATGTTGATAAAATGTGGATTTTAACACAGCATCCTTTTAAGAGCTAACAGGTTTGTTATATTAAACTTCTCTGTGAATATAAATGTATTTCAATTACACGAACATTATACATGGTGTACGTCAGAACTTAATCTTTTTTAATATTGTGAAGAAAAACACAATACCAAGTTAAAAACAAATACATGTTTTTAATGACAAAACATAAAAAAGTGGTATATGTGAGAGTTTGTGGGCGTAAACATTATCTGGTTTGTAAATGAGGTTTTCCTTTTATTAAAAAAAATACTTCATTTTGTTGTTTTCAATCGCAATTTTACGAAAATATCGGTGTCCGTTTTTTATTTTAATATTTATAACAGAGTACTGACATCGTTTTACCGCTTTTGGCAGATGATACTGCTGATTAAGTAATAAATACGCATGTTTCCTAAAGTTTTTATGCATTGATGAATTCATTTAAACCAAGAAAATGTTCATGAAAAGTTTGAATAAGAATAGATTTACCGTTTGCCGCCAATATGTAAAGTTGTCGTTCGTATCTCTCTCAGTGTATGACGCTAGTCCGCTACACTAAGAATGAGTTCCAACGAAAAACGAAAAACGTTTTAGTTGTACTTTGAACGAAATCTAATATTCAAAATAAGATTACTTTATCATTACATTTACTTACATTATGAAAATTAGATCAATTCAGGAGAAAATGACATGAACAATTTGTGGCGGATGTTTATGCGTTTTCTGTTGAATACCATCAGAGTAAATCGGCCGACACAGACGCCTCGTTCTCGGCTCTATATAATCAACAGAAATTACTGCGCATGTTAAATACGTGATGACCATGGGAGATTGAACATAGTTCCACTCCCCCCCCAAAAAAACTGGGGTTGTAACCGCCCCTGACGCCTCTTTGTCGAGGCCCTTGATTGAACAGGTCATCTGTCAATTCCAGTCATGAGAGGAGTTGGTTGCATTTTTAGTTTGAATTTGGTTGAAACATACACTGCATCTCTCCAAGTACTATTTCGCTTTTTCAAACGATTACGACGATTTTAAAGTGGTGAGAGCTGTGCGCGAGTGTTTTGTTTTGTATACGTAAAGTTATATCTAAAACATTTGTATATGTATGGCTGACTTATTGAGACCATGAATCAATAAATTTCACTCTTTAACCAAATTAAATGCAGATACTTTTTTTCTACTTACATGTATGCATGCACCATGTAACGTAAGAAATCTGCCAGATTCCCCACTCAAGCTTTTGTAACATATCTTAGCTCAAAATCGTATCGATTTAATCGATGTTAATAATTTAATTTTAACATTTACAGTGGATGTCTACTTAAATGTACACTGAGATGTTTTTGGTATTTTCAGTACCCATGATCAACATTTTTTAAGAACTAGTTTTGTTTTAAGATATTACACAATACATTTCCCAAGTTCATTTTTTGGAAACTTTGGTATTTTATTCTAGGATACAAAATCTCTTTTAATATATAATATGTAATAGTTCCTTTGTCCACGAGCTTTTAAGACAACCCTCGTATATTCTCACCTGTTATTGTTATGCCACAATCAAGCCTTTCTAGGTCTTCCATTCTTTTTTCTAATTCGCTCATGTACTCCGGGACAGCATTTTCCAACTCACGTTTCATATCATTGTCAAATTCATGTTGTTGTAAGAAGCATATTAGAGACTTGTATATATTAAGTAATGGATAATGAGGTGAAAGGTTGCACTCCTCTTCAATGCAACTGGTAGAAAAAGAAGAAAAAAATATTAAGAAGAAAGTCATACTGGAATAATTTACAATCTGCATAGGATATTAATTTTGATCAGTCAGAGTTATCATATATATTGTTTTAATTTTGTTGCATTTTGATGGTAGGGCAACGTCGAATCAAGCAGAAGTAATTTAAATGTGTCTGTTAATGGGAATCCCTCATTTATCTCATTTGTACAATTAAATTTGGTTATTTGTTAGATTTGAAAACGACTACTATGAAAGCCGAAAAGATGCAAAAGCAAGCCATTACTTTAAGGTCCTGAATATCACAATACAGACTAGTGTTAACGGTTTGAATGAATTTATATTTTTTTTTACATTTAATGATAATAACCAATGAAAAGTGAAAAAAAAAACATGTGAGAAATTAGTCTGTTTGTTGCATTTTGTATATTTTGTCACTATAGAAGGTGGCATGAACATAAAAAAATCTCAACTGCAACTAAATGTCAACAAGTAAATGTCGATATATAGAGTGAAATTATCATTATTTAAAGTTTAACTCTGACTTGATCTTTAACTGATATAAAATTCGCAAAATATTTAGATTTACGTGTATATAAGGATATTTACCTTTTCCAGACCTGTTTTCTGACCTTTTTGTTTTTAGACAATATACAGACACGTGTCATAAGTATTCCGTCAACATGGCGGTTTGTTTACGCTTGAAAAAATTCAAACATACGCTGTAATGAAATAAAGTAGTAAAAAATATAAATTATGTTAAACTTACTTGTTAATACTTCGTAAGATGTCCATTGAGCCTGATTACATTCAAAATTCTGTTTGGTATGGACTTGCATAGGTTCTGAACATAGTTAGGTCGGATGCTTGTCCAAATGCCCCGAATTTTCTCCACGATCGAGATCGTCTTTAGATTTAATGAAAGAAATGCGTGTCTGAAGCTTTCTTTTTATCAATAGCCAAAGGTTTTTAATAATGTTGATAATGTTTTTAATAATAATGATATCTGGCGACTGGGTAGGCCATTCTGGGCAAAGTATTCTTGAGTAGACCTTGCTCGGTGAACTTGGACATTGTCGTCCTGGAAGAAATATCCACCCCTAGGAAAATGTCGAGCAATCACTGGCCACAGGTTCTCTTCCAGAATGTACCGATATTTTTTTGCATTTATGTTACCATTTACCGGTGTAATTGTCCCAACACCATTCTAAGAAATACACCCCCATATCATTACTTCATACCTGGGTTGCGATGGTCGGGGTTGCACAAGATCGGGTCGCCAACCTTCATTTCTCTTGCGCCAAATATGAACCCGCTGGTCATGTCCAGTCATTATATTGATCTCGTCTGAGAATATCACTTTATTCCAGTTACTCTGAACTGTCCACCGCCTTTTCTCTCTGCACCATGCCAGTCTCTTTCGTCGGTTAACCTCCTTCACAACAAGTTTCTTCTTACTTACGCATCTTCTATATTCATGATTCTTCAAATGGCGCTGAATAGTCCGCTTACTTACAGTTTCACTCTCAGTCCTGCCTTCATTAAATTTTAATGTGATATCACTTAAGGACTCTCGACGATGCGTTTTCACTAGCCTTTCTAAACCACGGTAATCCATTTCTTTCATTTTCGCCGGCCGCCCACTTCTTGGTTTGTTTTCCACTGACCCTGTGGCAAAAAACTTTCTTGCGACATCGATAACTGTTGACTTTGGAATTTTCAACATCTCACTCACCTTGTGACGGGAAAGACCACTCTGAATCAAATCTATAGGCCTAATGATATTTTTCGCCTCCGTCCCAAGCTCCTGCCCTTTTCGACCCATATTTTCAAAGAACTACGAACTCTAACTCTTGATTCCCGCCTACATTTTGCACTCATTAAATTCAATATTAATGGCAATTAGGCCATTAAATCTTTGTTTAGTACAAAGAACAGTTCTATGGTAATTGATTAATCATTTTAATTCCAGCGCTAGAGAGTAAATTATCATTAATTCCAGTTCTTGAAAAATGGGGGGTAGACGATATTTTCTAGTGAACTCGAACTTTCAAGGATCACCATATTTTGAAATAGTTTTAAATATGATAAAATATATCTGATATCTTTTATTTTACACAAATAAATAAAACATATATTAATTAATAAAATACAATTATTTAGTTGTAAAGAGCTTTAAAATTGGTGAAAAATCAGCATTTTTTTTGTCTATAGACATACGCACCCCCCCCCCCCCCCCCCCCCCCCCCCCCCCCCCCCCCCCCCCCCCCCCCCCCCCCCGTGAAACACAAAAAGCTTTGGTATAAATTTGTAAAATGACAGTCCATATTAACTGTAAAAAGGAATTTTTGTTTCACGGGGGGGGGGGGGGGGTGTTTTAAAAATATTTTAAGTTTTACGTTGATTTTTATAGTGAAAAATTTCAAGTTTTTCCAAAATTATAGAGTTATCTCTCTTTGGTATCCCAAATAAGTAACGTTTTATGAAAATTCATATAATTATCTATAAAAATTTTGAAAATCATTCTAATATGTTAACTTTTGAAAATTGACTTAGAGGTAGGCGGGAGAACAATACTATCGTTCGTAGTTCTTCTGACAACTTTCGCTAACTACAGACGACAACAAATGATCATGTGATTCATCATGTGACTAAAAATCTAAATTTATAACACTTCGTCATCGATGACGTGTAGATACAAAAACAAGAGCCTCAAGGTATGTACTTTCGTTTTCAAGTGTAAACAAGTCGCCATGTTGACCGAATACTTATGGCACGTGTCTGTATAGTCTTGGAGGGCGTTAAAAAATATGTATTCGTAAATTTTAGCTTTTTCTTATATTTTAAGAGAGAGAGAGAGAGAGAGAGAGAGAGAGAGATATCATACTAAAACTCATCATCTCTCTCACTCTTATTTCATTTACAGATATTTTTAGAATATGAATAAAAACAGTGTTTTTGAATTAAGATATACATGTATTATGTTCAGTATACATTTTAATTTGATACCTAGACATTTTCTGAAGGTCCTCGTCACTCTTTTCTCTTGAGTAAATGAATACAAACCTTTAAAAAAATAATAAAGTTATTGGTATAAAGATAATGTTTTTAAGAATCAACGAATATTCTCTAGAATAAGTTATAATGTTCATTCTTAAACTCTAAAAAAAAAAAAACAATGTTACATTACCCTTCTTCATTTTCATCTGTAGTTAAGTTTCCATCATTTGCATTTTTTCTTAAAATCGGCCTTTCATTCTCATATACACCTCTTTCAGAAATCGTTCCTTCTCTTTGGTGTTCTCCAATATTGTCCTCTTTTTCTTCAGACATATTTAATTTTTCTGGTGGTGTTCGTTGTAAATGGTTTACATTCTCTATTACGCCAAGGTTTCAGATACTACTGAGTATGCCATTTTCTCCCAGCCTGTATATAACACAAAGTCCTTAAGTTTGGATATGACAATGTGAATTACATAAAATTTTATCAATATCATGGATATTGAAATAAAAAACGAAATATTTTTTATGTACATGTATCTATGATGTTAAAATTCCATTTTTCTTTTACAAAATTTATATTTCTAATACATGGATATGTTTTGTGTTGAATTGAAACCGACGAGTCGCAAATTAATGGATCGATTCTGATGTGTGGAATCTGCGCCCGTCAGGTCAAAATATTTTCTATCTGAAAGCGTCAATTTATTGATGGCGATATAAATATAAATTCCATTTCATGCCTTCTTATTTTGGATTAAAAAATTTAAGTCCACTTAAAGGCTTAAGGTGATATATCGCTACAGGCATATCTTGTCATCTGTCAAAGAGCGCTAGTCATGCACTAGTCATAAACATTTGAACAATTTTAGCTTCCTCTCTTTAACAACTTGTTACAGAGTTGAATCAATTATGATTCATGGAATCTATCAGCAAAGGGTAATCGTCATTGTTAAATTCATGGTCTCTGTCTACCGGAGGGAACCTCCAAAATCAAAATTGATAGTTCATCAAAAATCTTCTTTACTCCTGAACACCGAGCAGTCAGGTCAGTAGCAAAATAATCAAGTACGTGAGGCTTTTAAAAATGTAAAATTCATGGTCTCTAAATCTGAGGCTATTTTTTCGAATAAAAATATGACAGTGATGTTTCTTCCGAATTGTAAAATGTATGAAGTAAGAAGTACTGAGATGAGGACGACGAAAAGTAAAAATTCATTGATCTAAGAAATTTTCTTTCTCTGCTTTATGATCAACAAAATAATTATTTAAGTGCATGGCTAATATGAGAAAGAGTGATTCTTCTAAACTTGTCATATACACAGTCCTTGGTTATAGAGAGTGCGATAGGACTATAGAGCTATTGGTCCAAGAGAGTAATTAATATAAGAAAAGCAAAATTCAATTTAAAAATTGCACAAGAAAAAAGGACAACAAGTAGTTTCTTTCATACTTGAAGTCCCTTCATGTATTTCCTGTGAAGGTCTCATCAAAGGTCAATATGTCCAAAAATTTATTTTTACAATAGCTCCAAAAAAAAAATGAGATATAAAGTTAACAATTTTACAGTTTATCATTATATCATTGTTTAACATACAGAAAGTGTCACTTGAACTAAAATATCAAAGAAAAAAAATAGACAAAAAGTTATATAAAAAATTGCATATTTAAAAAAATGCACCTCCTTAATTCTGTACTTGTAGTAAACACCATCATTGCAGAATAAAATAATTATGTTTATCATTTAAGGACAGGTGATACAAACAAACTTTTGTTAAAAGATATGAAATTAACAACCAGATTCATGTTTTAATGAGTTCAATTAATAACTTTCACCGCGTAGTTTCTAATTCTTTACTCAAATTTTCACAAAAAATGAGGTTTTATTGAAAAATATTTGTAGATTAATAAGGATGGTTTCAGAGAGGAAGAATTCTGAACATCGCAGAAGGTTTACACATTCTTCATATTCTGGAAATTTATTATTTGCATCATTTTCAATGAAATAAGGTGAAAAAATATATACCAATCCAGGCACCCATTGTTTGTTTGTATCATCTGTCCTTAAAGGCAAGTTGGACGCGATAGGTCTATGAAAGGCTCGTATTGAAAGCATGTCATGTATAAAGACCCCAATAAAATTCGAAAAATGCAATGTACTTCTGGTTTCAAATTTTTACATTTTGACAAAATAAACAAAGAAGCAACTTTCCAGAGGCTATCAGATACCAACTTGCCTTTCATTTATAAACATATTTCATGTGGCGATATTAATCACTGAAACAATTATATGAATTGCTTGTTTGTTTGTTAAACATCATTACCTTTTGTCCATTTTAATATTCCATTAAGCTATTAAAAATACTTGACAGAAAAATAATTCAATAAAAATTCAATAAAGAATGTGACGATCAAAGTTGGTCGCTTTTGATGTAATGCTACCCAGAGCTAAAGCCACGTGATTTTTTTTTTATTTTTTTGTATTCAAAGTTGCCCGAGTCTACAAATAACGTCATAAGTTTGGTTATGAAATAGGTCACAATGCGGTTAATAAAATGTAAATACCCGTGAAAAGTGAAGAAAACGATCGACGTTTTGTACCTTTTTAAAATGGTAAACTTAGAGCGCAGGCGTGCCTAAAATTTTCCTTTTAAAATGTTAAATTTCCAACAATTTTACATCTTTTATCCTTTTGAGAACGGATGACTGCACCTAACGCTCTGTTTTTGGGTCTTTTTCTGTGATCTATGTTGCTTTTATATCCCAAACTATTTTTACATTTATATATTCCCTACGTAATTCTGTCATCTTGGCACCATATTAAATGTTTAAAATACGTAAAGACGGTAATACTATAAACTAATTGCATGTTTGTTGTCATGTCTCGTTTCCAAATAAATAGGAATTACACTAATTTGCCATTTAATGAAGGTTGTGTAACTATGCATGAGAGGTGGAGCGTACAATTTAAGAATGGATCTATATTTAGATTAAATGAATAACAATGACAAGTATTAAAAAATAATGCATGCAGAATAAGTAGGGACATATTTGTCTCAGAATTGTTTTTTACATTATTCACATTAGTTAAAAACGTTATTAACAATATGATCCAGTGTATCGAGGTAAAAGTATTTTAAATCGATGTCTGATAGTTGAATGTGTTCGAGCACAGTGTCCTATTTTGCATGCATAATTCTACCTTACAAGTCACGTGACAGAAATATGTATCCATATCGTTAACAAAAATATATAACGTGGTGAATTCAAGGTGTCACAGCCCTTGGCTACATCACAGAGAGGAAGTGTAAGAAGAAGCAGCTTTTTTCTGTTTTGAAGCATGAATGCAAGTTTGTCTATCAATCTTCTTTTGAATCAACATTACTCATGCACATATTATACAACTACTGTTAAGAGGAAAACAACATACAAACATGTGAAAATGTAAAAATGTGGGCGTCCTCATTATCTTACGGAGATTTGAGAAATGGTGATGACTTCCGCCTTAAAAAACAGATTTATTATTCGTAAATACATACTTTTATATATTGTAATTACACAAATTTGCAGATTAAATGTTGATAATTTCTACTAATAAAACAAATTTCTGTAATAAAATTTTATATTGACGCAAATTTTGCATGTCGTGAAGTGCAGACTTTAAATTCCTGTAATTTTGAGAATTGCTTCATTAATCTCATGGAGCTACTCTTTTACTTTTTGCTCAACATTCCAAGGGTCAGGTTTTGTACACTGATTGCATTCATTTTTTCAGGTAATGATTAGTTTTCGGATATCTAAGTGAAACTTCAATATTTTGACAAA